AAGTTCCGCTTTAATGCTTTGTCCCTCACTCCCCATTAAGGATTGGCACCTTTTAGGAGGGTACCCTAATTTGACAGGAACCCACTCCCATTTCTACTGCGATCGCCTAGGTGATCGGAAGCAGAAGTTGTCCTCCCCCCCTCCCTCCCCATAGTCTTCTGGAACACGTGACAGGTCTCAGAAGACTACTGGGCCATTCACAAAGCTCAGCGCTTCTTGCGCATGCGCAGTGGGCACCCGGTTGTGAAGCTGCAAGCTTTCATAGCCAGGTGCCCACACTAAAGATGCCAGCTCCAGGAAGAGAAGATTGCCGGTGAAACCAGCCGTGGTGAGGACACCGCTGGTCCGAGGGACAGGTAAGTGGCTGTATTTTAAAAGTCAGCAGCTTTTTTTTTTAGCTGGAACTCCACTTTAATCCGGCACTATCTCTAATCAGGCACTGACTGTAAATATGGTGCTGGCTGTAATCAGGAATTGATTGTAAACTGGCCCTAGGCTGTAATCAGGCACTGGATGTAATCTGAGGTTGGCTGTAACCAGGCCCTGATTGTTTTTGGTGCTGGCTGTAATCTGATCCTGGCTGTATTTGGGCACAGGCTGTAATCTGACACTGGATGTAATATGAGATTGGCTGTAACCAGGGCCTGGTTGTTTTTGGTGCTGGCTGTCATCGGATCCTGGCTGTATTTGGACACAGGCTGTAATCTGGCACTGGTTGTAATCTGAGATTGGCTGTAACCAGGGCCTGGTTGTTCTTGGTGCTGGCTGTCATCTGATCCTGGCTGTATTTGGGCACAGGCTGTAATCTGACACTGGTTGTGATCAAGCACTAGCTGTAATATGGCACTGACTGTAATCAGCTGCTGCTTGTAATCTGGTATAGAATGTAATAAAGCACTATCAATAAATTTAAAGTAAACAGCTACATGCAATTAGCATAGGTATACAATACACCAACACGAAAAGTAAAAAAAGTGATTTCAGCACTCACTAAGTAATTCAAATATTGTGCAAAGGTTTTGCTGTGTCCATAAATAATCTTAAAATCAATAGAAAAAGTAAATATTTCCATCAAACAGCAATAGAATAGCAATAAATGCTTGTTATATAGTATCCATCATGGTCTCATTCTCTCCAAAGATGTTGTCGTAAAACTGAACTCCTCCGCTCCACCAGAGGTCAGTACAAGCATTCATATCTACAAGGAACCTCCAGCAACAAGATAAACTCTTTTAGTGCCGAAGTTTAATGGTGATTCAAAATGTATTTACAATACAAAATCATCCAACATAACAGTAAACAATATTAATACAGATGCCGCTTGTCACAATTTCATAAGGGACTGCTAGTCCAACACTGAGTGGTGGCATAACCTCTGGTAATTACAGCTCTGCCCAACTTCACCTCTGTTTACTGTTTATGTAATCTGGTGCTGGCTGGATCAGACAGTGGCGCTGTGACAGGTAGAGGCACAGCAACCATTTACAGTCACTGTGAATGCTGATCAGGTATGGGAACTGTACACTGGAGTACTGGTTGTGATTTGTTACAGTGATGACCAGATAATCCACTCTGCCATTGGCTCTGTACTTTCTGCCTATGATCAACATTGTGTCATTCTCAACTGAGATCACAGGCATTGTTTACAGCCATAATCTCTGTGATTTCTCACAGCAATCACGTGGTACAGAGCCACTTTTATCACCTCTATACCTTTTTTCTGTGATCTGGGCACAAGTACAATAAAACCATGGACATCATGATTGATGATGGGTTTTCAGCAAGGGACATGTTTTTGTCATTGCATTTTTTTGAGAAGAAGGAGACAGAGCTGAATGCTGTATTAACAAAGGTGAATTAGCAATGCACTGGCACATTGTCCACATATCCAAGTAAGTTTTTAGAGTTTGTTTTAAAAAAAATCTGATTTTAGCAGAAAGCGGTATGAGAAGTATGTTTATTTTTTTGGAACACATCCCTAATATACAGTATGTCTTTAGGTACATAGTGCAGTGTTTGTTTTGATGTCCATGTAATTATGTCTAGTTAAATGTGACTAACTGCTTCAAATTATACCATGATCTGCATAAATAAGAACCTTCACAGCCACAAATGCAATATTGAGTTAGCAAATATACTGTAAATATCTGGTTACAATCAGAAAGCCTAAGCCGAAGTACAGATACATTTCAATGTCTTGGATGAGGCCACCTGAGATCTGGCTAGAGGTGGAAGCAGCTCTAGGAATGGCCAGCTACCTATAATTCGCTCTACATGCTGTCACCTATGAGATAATGTAAAAAATAAAAGTGGCAAAATTAAAAATGTAAATGTTATTACATTAGCATACTGAAAAGAAAATACAATTCACCATGTTGCCTATAATCAAGAACTTGATGCTATGCCTCTGACAAAGACAGAGTAACTGGCCAAGACAGAGATCAGCTATACCCATATAGAAAATTAGATGTATGCAACAATGTTAATTTTTTTCCTCACTACACCTACAAGATGACAAGTACAAATTGAATATTATTACAGATCTTTGAAAATACTCATTAATAAAAGCCTTGCAACTGCCCCAGATATGTTATAAGGGATACTGTTAGACCCAGAAAATAACATTGCTGTGATTAGTAAGCCTGACAACATGATTCAAGTTGCAGATACCTTAAGCAGTTCAACACTCAAAGGAAAAGGCACTAGTGATGGAGGATTTGAAACTCAAGAACATTTAGGATGACTTGTTTTCCCTTAAAAAAAAATAGATAACAGATTACAAAGAAAATGACTCTCAGTTGCTCGCACTGAAAAATGCCATACTATATTTCTGCTGAAAATTATAATTTAATTTCATGCCCTTCTAACAGAAGACAGCCTATGGTTCTAAGTGCAATGCTTTAGGGACCATGGAAAAAAAAAAGTTGTTAATTTTGTGATTAATCCAGAACTTAGGATAAACAACCTGCAGTAAATGCCTTGCAAGCACTGTACCACTGCAAAAAATGTGTGTTATGAAGGGTATTCTGAAAAATGCATTGGGTTGGACCATGGGCGGACTGACCATTTGGAAACTCGGGCACTGCCCAAGGGCCCGGGGTCAGTAAGGGGCCCCATGAGATGCCCCTGGTACCTTTTTCATAGGCTTTTTTGAGTTTGGGCAAGAACACAGGGGCCCCATGATCCCCTATTGCCCGGGGGGCCCCATGAGCTGTCAGTCCGCCCCTGGGTTGGACTAAGCACTGTAACACTGATACACATGGATACACTGGTTTGTGTTGCAGGGGTTGTTACAGTAGTACAACACTTGAGAAACATTTACTGCAGGCTGTTTATTCTGAGCGTGGGTTAAGCACTTGTCTTGTGAGCAGAGGCAGACTGACAACTCATGGGGCCCTGCGTATTAGGAGATCATGGGGTCCCCAGGTTTAAAAATGGCCACCAACAATAATGTGGCAGGCATGCGTGGAGGGGCACCAAGCTCAGCAACATGCAGAATGGCAGGAGACTGAAAGCTGGTGACCCAATAAAGGTACCAGGAGCCTCTCATGGGTAGTGCCACCTTAAAGTGTTATTAGCCCACAGCAATAAAATCAGTCTGTATATGCAGGAAAGCATGCTTGTTATGCTCACTGTGGAACCTACAGGGTTAATCCTCTGCATTGTGTGAAAAGGATGTTTGATCCTGTCTTCTCTGATCCTCCCCTTCTTCCCCGACTCGTCTCCTGATAGAAAAGAGCCTTTGGGCAAGCTGCACATGCTCAGTTTGGTGTGTATTGTTTTTTTTTTTTTGTTTTTCTTGGAAGGGTGCATGTGATCAGCACAGAGCCAATTAGCGCTGTCCAGACAGAGGGTCAGGGGTTCTGCAGTCTCATACTGTAGGACAGTGAGAGGAGAATGAAAACTTCACCTACAAGATTTAACCAGTGCTCTGCTGGACACTGATATAAGTCACAAGACTGCTACAACTGCTCATGAGAAAAGGCATTTAGCAGTTTATGTTTACTGAAAATAATTGCATTTCCATGTTCTGTGAATGCAGGGTGCTGGGTTTAGTAACACTTTAACAGCATTATGTGCCCCTTGGGAAAGTAATGCACTGGGGCCCCTACCAGGTAGATGGTGACCTGCGATGAGCATAGGTGTGGCTAAATTATGCCGCATATTGGGCGTGGATTTTAATTCTGCTTAGAAATTTTTGTAGATTTTTTACAATGTTTCTTTTTTACAGTTTTATTTCTTTTTAATTTTGATATTTCATTTTAATTTAATAATTTTTTACAACTCTGTTGGGGAGGGAGGCTTTGATGCAATATCAGGGGTCTAAACAGACCCCTGAAGTCTCATTTTTGAGACAGAGAAAGGGACTCAGGACACATTCCCAGTCCCTTTCTCTGTAGCCTCAGCTGCACTGCAGATGAATGAACAGGAGGCAGAGGCTCCTGCCCATTCATAAACTAAAGCATAGTAAATACAGATTCACCTGCAGCTGCTGCTGGCGGGAGAGGAAAGGAGGGTGAATTTGGAGGTACTAAGTTATTACCTCCAGAGTGCCCAACTACATCTTTCAGAGTGTCCTCTTAGTAATACTGTACTAAGGGGGCACTATGGAGGATTTAGAGAGGCATTCTAGAAGCTCTAAGGGGGCACTCTGGAGGTGTTAAGTTAGTACCTCCAGAATGTCCCCTTACATCCACCTCTAGAGTATCCCTTAATGCCCCCTTATGTCCTGCTCCTCCAGAGTACCCCATTTTAAATATCTTCTGGCCTGGCCACAAGTCATGAGCCACTGGTGGGTAAAAACTTTGTGCAGTGGTTTGTGTGAATTTAAGCTACATTCCACACTGCTCAAAAGTCACGAGTGGCCAAACCAGGAAATAACAAGGAGTGAGATGTTCTCATCACTTTCTTTCCCTCTTGCTTGGAAAAGCTGAGAAATCACAGGTCCAACAGGTAGCAAGGCCAGAAATTCAGCTCAATAACCTCTGTGATCAAGCCCAAGTAGAGGAGGGGGGAGAGTATGGGAAATATCAGAGAAGCATCTTGCTGTGGTTGGAAGACAGAGATAGCAGCTGGCTGGAACTTACTTCATATCCATCACCAATCACAGGGAAAGGAGAAGGGAGACCACGGGAAGAATCACAGAGGCACCTGTGCTGCAGCTGCAGGGCTAGAACAGACAGTGACATGCTGGATCGGTGTGAGAGCTGGGTGTACTCACGGCTCTTCTACCTGTTGTTATGCCAAAAGGAGTGCAGAAGGGAGCAGAGTCAGTGGTGTCACTACAGTTGGTGTCACCTGGTGCAGAAAAATATGGTGTCACCCCTTCTCAAGTGGTATAGCGTTGATAAGGATGCTGATATGGCATATGGGGTGATCAGGTCACTGGTATGTTGTAAAGCGGTGATAAGGGTGCTGGTATGGTGTGTATGGCGGTGATCAGGATGCTGGTATGGGGTATGGCAGTGATCAGGATGCTGGTATGGGGTATGGAAGTGATCAGGGCACTGGTATGGGGTATGCAGTGATCAGGAAGCTGGTATGGCATATGGCGGTGATCAGTGAGCTGGGACGGTGTATGGTAGTGATCAGAATGCTGGTATGGTGTATGGCGGAAATCAGAGCACTGGAATGGTGTATGGCGGTGATCAGTGCACTGGTATACTGTATGGTGATGATCAGGACACTAGTTTTGAGCATGGTGGTGATTAGGATGATGGTATGGGGTATTGCGGTGATCAGTACACTGGTTTGGTGTTTGGTGGTGATCAGGGCACTGGTATGGTGTATGGAGGTGATCAAGACGCTGGTATGCTGTATGGTGGTGATTAGGATGCTGGTATGGAGCATGGAGGTGTTCAGGATGCTGGTATGGAGCATCACAGTGATCAGGACCCTAGTATGGAGCATGGTGGTGATCAGAATGCTGGTATGGAGCATGGTGGTGATCAGGATGCTGATATGGGGTATGGCGGTGATCAGGATACTAGTATAGGGTATGGGGTTGATCAGGATGCTGGTAAAGGGTATAGTGGTGATCAGAACATTGGTATGGCATATGACGGTGATCTGGGCACTGGAATGGTGTATGGTGGTGATCAGGGTGCTGTAATGGTGTATAGCAGTGATCAGAGTGCTGGTATGGTGTATGGTGGTGATCAAGATGCTGGTATGGTGTATGGAGGTGATCAGGGCGCTGGAATGGTTTATGGCAGTGATCAGTGTGCTAGTATGTTGTATGGTGGTGATCATGATGCTGGTATGGAACATGGTGGTGATCAGGATGCTGGTATGGTGTATGGCGGTGATCAGGACGCTGGTATGGAGCATGGCGGTGATGATGATGCTGACATGGAGCATGATGGTGATCACGATGGTGGTATGGGGTATGGTGGTGATCCGCACTCTGGTATGGTGCATGATGGTGATCAGAAGAGTTGGAGCTGCTATGGGGAGACTGTCAGCTAACAATACAAAGTATGGTGATCTGGGATCAGAAAATGCATTGTATGGGGGATCTGGATGGAATCAGAACTGATCTGACAATGGTTGTCTGTGGGAATCTGTATCTTGACAGGATCAAGACTGGACAAGGGGAAGATGCTGTAGGTGCCGGCAATTACAGTGGGAAACTCCTGGATGCATGCCCCCAGCACCAGCGATGTCACTGCATCTGCCTACATAGGAATAGTTGCAAGGAAGATGCTGTTTGTCCAGGCAATCACAGCAGGGAGCCCAGGAACACGCATGGATAGATGCCCACCCAGCACCAGTGATGTCATTGCGTCTCATCCCCTCCACATCACACAAGGTCAGTCAGCCTCAGCTGCACCCGGAGGGGAGGATTCAGTGCAGGCTCAGCCACACTGCCTGGAGAGTTGCGCTGTCACTTCTAAATGCAGAAGCTGGGATTCTGTATTTAGAAGTGACAGCAATGAAAGGAAAACACAGGCCTAGCACCGGAGTCATGGGGCGGGTCCCCTATTGGCCACAGGCCCTCGGGCAGCACCCAAATGCCCGAATTTCTTCTTACAAACAAAATATAGTAAACAACGATCCTTACCTTAGCAGCTGGAGTCAATCTGTTCCCCTCACAGGAAGAAATGGTAATGATAGAAGTGACCAGCGCTCTCAAAATAACAAGATCAATATCATCTTTGTATAACTGAAAATCAGATGTCATACATCCATCAACTTCTTCCTGTGAATCCAATCTTCCCATACAGTGATCTCCATAAAAAGAAATATACTATAGTGTAGTATGCACAATACACCATGCTTTAAATCCTGTCCAAAGTGCTCACATTTATAATAAAAAAAAAAAAATGTGTATTTGTTCACCAGTGATTTTCTTTATCTACCCTTACCCTTCATATACTTGTTGTATATCTGTTAATCTAATTTATGATTCGGCATTTATATGCAAGCTTGCAAAATATTTGGTTTTCCTTGTTAGTCATAATAATATCAATATGTGTAAGTGGTCTTTGACAAATGGTAGATTTACATTCTTCAATTATCTGAGACCAAAAGATATACAAGTTAAGCTGAAATAGTGCAATACCAGTGTTGAGTAGCTAAAGAGATATCTTCCAGGCATAGAAAGCCACTAGTTATGTCAAGGTTATATTAGAAGTGACTTACTATTACATTACGTGGGATTTTCTGTGTATATTTAGTATAAGTCATTAACATTGATACTTTTACGTCATTAGCTTATAATATTGGTACATCAGCATAATATGTTCCTCATCATTGTTTAGCATCTTTACCTTATATGAAATGGCTTTGCTAAGCAGTAATACTTTCCATAGAAGGTATTCAGATCACTAACTATGACGTAATTTGCCTCTTAAAAGTGCATGAGACACAGACACTCGGGGGGCACTCACTCTCTCTCATACACACAAGCAACATGACTCTTGCATACACACGTCTGAGAAGCTGCAACAGGTGCATACTGAGATCACTTCCAACAATTTAGTTCCGGCTTCTCCTTCTTTACAAAGTCATTGAGAAGGACAGCATGGCAAGGACAGGACAGCCATGACAGATAATGGTGACTTTTTTCTTTGAACTTTCGCTTGTCATTTTTACAGTAGTTTAGTATCTACATGGAACTGTTCATAATACGCTTTACATTGTTTATTTGACACCATTGTGTGATAATTAATAAAACTCACACTTCATACCACCAAAATTCAGTCATATCTACCCAATTACACTGATACAGTATTGTTTTGTCTTTTCAATCAATTAAACTGGTCTCCTTGTGTCTTGTACTTCAATGGTTGTCTTACATGAAGATCCACAGATTTCACCCAAAATACAATAAGATACCAATATAGTGCAATACTGTTTGCTAAAATCTCTTCCAGATAGAAAGCCACTCACATTATATCATGTTTACATGTGCATTCCCATAAATTTCCCATAGAAAGATCCACTAAGTGTATCATCTTGCCTCGCCAAGCTCCTTACCGAACTTCCAATAAACTGTGCCTTTAATAAACCATTTCCACCTCTCTTACTTCTCTTTACCAGCGTGACTTATGCAAATGGTTTCCAAAAAAACAAAGACTAATATAGTGTGATATTGCATATAAAAGCATGAAAATAAAACTTAAAACCACTCACATTTCCATACCACCAAAATAGTGCATATCCCTTTAAATGATACACATATGTTTTGTTTTTCCATAAAACTGTTTATTGAGGCCACAGCAAAAGAAACACAATATTACACAAAATACAGTAACGTGACCATGTTTACATAGTAGAGATTACATATAGAAATTGTAGAAAGCATGTACAGAAATAACACAGTAAAAGTCTCTCAAAATCTCAACAGTGTTCAGTATCCCAATACTGAGTGGTAGCTTAATATATCAAACAGCCAAAAAGAAACCTGAAATGGAGGAAAACAAAGAAGGAAAGGTATAGAGCCAAAAAGTAAGATAAGAGTAGAAGAAAGGGAGAGAAGAAAAAAAATGTGAGAAATGTGTCAATGAGGGGGTAATGGGTCAGCTTCAGGGTTTCACTCCTGCTTTCCTCTGCAGACGGTGGAGCTAAGAGTCATCCCAGCGTGAGAAAGAAAAGGGCAATGTTGACTGTGTTGTTATTTAAAAAAAATGTTTTTATATTGTGGAGTGGTTTAAAAGTGGATCCAGTAGGCCCATGTGGTGACAAATGTGGTACGGCGATCCTATGAAATATGAATGAGTTTCTCCATTTCTTCAACTTTGATCAATCTGGTCAACCATTCCCTGATCGTCTGAATGCGTGTGGAATGCCAGTGTACTGGTATGCAGAGTCTGGCAGCGTTAACCATAAACATAGCTAAGGATTTATGGTAGGATTTCTCAGATAAGGGAGAGTAATGTAAAAAGTATTGGGCTGGTTTATAGTCCAAAGGTAGTGTACACACTCCCGTGGTAATCTGGTGTGCTTTTTTCCAGAAGGGTTGGAGTAGGTCACAGGACCACCATATGTGCAACATTGCATCCTCTGCTTGACCCCATCTCCAGCATGTGTTTTGTACTGATGGTGTGAATGTATGTAACAGAGATAGGGTACGATATCCCATGGATTCTGATTTTGTAGCAGTTCTCCTGGATAGTTACATTGTGCAAGCCCTTATGAACACGTTCATTAATGGTGGTCCAGTCTTCATCAGATAAAGTCACGTGAAGTTCTCTTTCCTACGCTACTTGGGAGAAATCTGGAGTGGATTGAGTATCCGAGCGGAATAGAGAGTAGATGGTGGAAATCATATAGGGCTGGGTATCGTTTTTCTACAGCAAGATCTTGCCATGTAATACTTGCAGGGAAAAGATGAAAAAAAGTGTCTAAATTGATGATACAGCCAGAAAAGAAAGGAACCAGATAACAAACTGGGCATTTAATGCATCAAGACTTAACAGTTTACCTTTAGAGAAAAATTGGAAAGCACATATGTCTATATGAGACCATATGGATGATAAGAATGATCTTGACATTCCCAGAGCAAAGAGTAAGGCTTGTCTACCCGCAATAGAGACATTTTGGTGGGTAGAACCTATAGGGGGGTGTGAGAGTATGTATTTATTCAGTCGGCAAATCGGTAGCCAAGGTGACGTTGCTAGTGGGATTGTGAAGAGAGAGCATTCTAATTGGACCCAGGCTTTTAGTTTGTAGTGGAAATTCTAGTATATGACCCTTGTTAAGTGGCAAGCTATGTAGTATTTCCAGAGATCAGGAAGTCCAATCCTGTCAGATTTTTTGGATAAGGTAAGATGTGATTATCTAATACGAAGGTGTTAGATGTTCCATATAAAAGCCAAACAACTACTTTTGTAGATACCAAAGAAAGATTGGAGTAAGTGAATAGGGATGGCCCAAAGGAGATATAGGAGGCATGGAAGGATATTCTTCATGACGAGGGCAGCGCGAACAAACCTGGAAATTTTGAGCGAAGCCCAAGCCTTTAAGTATTTCTGAATGGTTTCTAATGCCATATGGACGTTTCTAATATAAAGCTCAGAGAGGCACGCAGGGATCTGTATTTCCAATTAAGTAATGGTGTCATCTTTCCAATGAAAGGGAAAATTGCTCTTGCACTGAGAGACTACAGGAGAAGGCAAAGAGACATTCAAAGCAAAGGTTTACTTTGAAATTCAACAAGGTCTGAAATGTAGCTAGATCTTTAAGAAGGTTTGGCAGAGAGATGTGGGGATCCAAGAGAAACAGCAATATGTGATCTGCAAAAGCAGCCAGTTTATATTCTTTTTCTATTATGAAGAGGACCATGATATCGGTATTGGCCCACAGTCTGTTTAACAATGGCTCTAGTGTCAAAACAAAGATAAGAGGCGAGAGGAGGCATCCCTGGCACATCAAGTGTGTTTT